AACTAAAATATTACTCAAATGAGTTTCATACTTATTACTTTTGTAAGTATCCCACTCATTAAGACTCTTTATATACTAATTTCTAGAAGTACAAATATTCAATATATTTGCATTCCTCATGACTAACATTATAACCAGCAATAATGTGATCGTACAAAAAATGAATGGAAATAATTTTACTTCTACATGTACTCACATATATATTTATATGAAACATTGAAATGTATATATTTAAATTGTTAACATTTGATATATGTGAACATACATGCAAAAAGTATATGAAAATTTATTTACATATATAAATACACACATTCTTTGTTACAAATTATTTTTATATCAAATATTACGTATAATTCACATACCAAAGAAATAACCACACAGTGATATGCCTGACTTAACATAATGTAGTTTGAATAATATGAAAAATTATCACCAATAATCTAATATATCAAATGCTGCTAAATTCTATTTTTGTTAGCTAATTGTTAATGTTAGTTTAATCGCTGAAATTGGCTTTTGTTACTGCGTTCATAATGATTTTAATGTATTTTGTTTCAAGCTGCCTTTAAAAGTAAGTACGCTTGATTGTTAAGTGTTTGCTATGAAATAATTACTAACCTTTGCTGACAGCATGATTTTATGTTGTAATTTACATTGAAGATATATATTCCATTAATTTCTACGTGTTGGATAGACTAATCAGGATATATTATTTTTCTAAATATATCATAAAAGGAATATCCATAAGAATCATTTGCTGTATTGTGTTAATTTGTTATTCATTTATTAACTTACTATCCCAATACATTAATTTTATGGAAGTTGTTTCTTTTTTTATCAATGTCTAATTTTTTGTGTATGATTTTTTTTTTCTTCTATCAAGTCTGAGAATTGCTTTTTACAGGGCATGCCGGAGGACTGGGCTAAATTACTTGTATCTAGTACTATAACAAAACAAGAACAAAAGAAAAATCCTCAAGCTGTTTTAGATGTTTTAAAATGGTACGACAATTCACAGCAGAGTCCCACATCCAAATATATGACACATGGCCATACAACCACACATTCTGGTAATAAAATAATAAAACTTTTTATAAAATGAAATTTTATATTCTTATGGTTAGTTATCTACTTTTTTATTTGAAAATAATTCTTTTCTAGGTTCCTCCCTGAGCCGTGTAAGCTCTAGTTCCCCTAGCAGTACAACACCAACAGATAGTGAAGGTGGTAGTGGTAATTTACTACCATGTAGTCTACCGGTTCAAAGTAGTGTTAATTCTGGACCAGATTCCTATAGGATATCAGAAAATCGTGATTTAGACGAACCTCCAGCTCCACCCGTTGCTAGCCGTCCTGAAAGAACTAAATCTATTGTAAGTAAATGAAACTAAAAATAATTTTATGCCATTTGTTTTTTGACTATACTGCATATAATGCTTTTTAGTATACCAAGCCTGTTGAAGAAACCATAACACCCCTTCTGCCGCTGAAAGCAACATTGGACAATAATAAAAATGCTGCAGTATCACCTGTTCATAATACGGCAAACAGTAATAATACTCTTACAACCACCGCCCAACAAACTCCCACAAATAAAACACGCGTGCCTCAACAAACACGACCTAAAAAAATGTCAGATGAAGAAATTCTAGAAAGGCTTAGGACTATAGTTAGTGTTGGTGATCCGAATAGAAAATATACAAGAATGGAGAAAATTGGACAAGGGTAAGGTAATATATAAATCAAATTTTGTTTCAGTGACTAATATTATTATTTTAATATTTTAGTGCTTCTGGAACTGTGTATACTGCAATAGAAACCAGTACTGGAATGGAAGTGGCTATAAAACAAATGCATTTAGCCCAACAACCTAAGAAAGAATTAATTATAAATGAAATTCTGGTCATGCGAGAAAATAAACATCCTAATGTTGTGAATTATTTGGATAGTTACCTAGTTTCAGAGGTTTGTATAATATTCTACCAACAATTTCTCTTGTATTAGCAAATTATCACATCATATTTGTTTTAGGAATTGTGGGTTGTTATGGAGTATCTTCCAGGAGGGTCTTTGACTGATGTTGTGACTGAAACTTGCATGGACGAAGGACAAATTGCTGCTGTATGTCGAGAGGTTCTCCAAGCATTAGATTTCTTACACTCTAACCAAGTAATACATAGGGATATAAAAAGTGATAACATACTGCTAGGACTGGATGGAAGTGTTAAATTAAGTAAGCTGTTATTTTATTTATAGTAAAAATCTAATTCTGGCAAACACAAGCAGACATATGAATTAAGAAATATATTTTATAATAAATTTGTCTGTTTTCAGCTGATTTTGGCTTTTGTGCACAAATTTCTCCTGAACAAAATAAAAGGACAACAATGGTTGGAACTCCTTATTGGATGGCACCAGAAGTTGTTACTAGGAAATTATATGGGCCTAAGGTACAAATTATAAAAGCAATATATTAATGATCAGTATTATTTATTATTTAATTATTTTTTAGGTTGATTTATGGTCACTAGGAATCATGGCGATTGAAATGATTGAAGGTGAACCTCCATATTTAAATGAAAACCCTTTAAAAGCATTATACCTTATAGCAACTAATGGTAAACCAGAAATTAAGGAAAAGGAAAAACTTAGTCTTGTGTTTAGGGATTTTCTTGATCAATGTTTAGAAGTGGAAGTTGAAAGGAGAGCCACAGCACTTGAATTATTAAAGGTAAGGTTCTTCTTCACAGAAGTGAATGAAAATACAATATTATTCTATGTTTCTTTTACAGCACCCATTTTTGAAGTTGGCTCGGCCGCTAGCAAGTTTAACACCACTTATAATGGCAGCTAAGGAAGCAGCAAAAGGCCATTAGCATTTCTTTTAGATTAGTTCAGTGTTTAAGCTTTAATATCAACTGATTTGGAATCCAACCATTTACATAAACAGTGAGATATAGTGATGAAATATTTTTAAGGACCAATGATTAATAAGTTTCTAAAATGAGAGAAATGTTCTAGTGTTCATGCATATGTGATATATATGTGTGTATTTTGATGTTTTTATAAATTTGGAAAGGAACAGGTAAGATCTATTTGTTATTCTAAATTGGAAAGATGTCTTGTTACCAATTCTCCACAATTTTTATTATAGTATGTTTTTAACTATGATAGTCAGACAGTAGTAAAGTATATGAATCGATAAAGAGAATTATATTTTATATAATTTATTTTATTATCACTCTAACTTTATTAATGATTTTTTGACAATTATTTGCAAAAGCTTCTGCATATTGTCGACTGTTACTAAAAAAATAGTTCCAATTAATCTACAATTGAATAAAATTCTTTTACTTATATTTATATATCAATAGATGAAAGATTTACTATTATTGATCACAGCAATATTTTAAAATTTTAAGCAAATGTATATCATACTCTTGCTAACTCATTTCTATAATATTTAGCATACTATTAAATCACTTGACAATGTGCAGATTGAAGGTATTCTATCAGATAATTAAAATCTTTGAACAAGATTATATGGACTGTGATAGATTTACCTTTATGTAAATGTACTGAAAAAAAATCAGAAATGTACATATAAACCTAAGAACTTTAAGCTCGAACAAAAATGTGTATATACAACAGAAAAAAGTATTAAAACTTAGTTATTAAACTTATCCAGCTTCAACTGCAAATCAATTTACAAAGAATTTCATTTCTGTAAGAATGTGGGATTTGAACAGGGTCGCAAAAAAGTAAAGGCTCAAAGTATTATTGAATAATTTTAAACAAGTTGCTTTTATTATATTAGTTTTCGATTGTATTAACAATAATGTAAATACGCTTACTGGTTTTAATTTGATTAAGAAGAATGTCACAATTAATATTGAGTATAAGTCAGAAAAAAGACTGGCATAGATTTATATTTCAATTAAACATCAGTAAATATGTTTAGCATTGATTTAATATATAATAGTACAAAATATGGACAAATACTATGAAACTATATTATTACAAGAAATAAGTTTTTTTTTTAATCTGTCCATGTTTATTTATATGCATTCTGACCCCGCATTGTATATTTTTTGGTATGAAATGGTCATATGAGAATGTATTTTTAAAACTAATTGACTGCTGCGGCTATTGTCAGAATGTGCCTAACCAAAAATAATAAATAATAAAAATATATTAAAACTTCAAAAATTGAAAACATAATACATAATTATTGATTTTTTTCACACTTAAATAATAAAGTATTCTGTTAATTGTATGATGTACCATACATAATTTTATTTCTTCATAGATATTTTAATGAGAACTTTTAGAATTTCCAAAATTCTGAAAAAATTATAGAAATTTCAATTTTTTCACATAATACCATATAATTATTTTGCATGATATGTTAATAATGAATAGTAATTATTGTAAAATCTAATGTAAAATATTTAAGAAGTTTTGTTTTCAATATATCGGTTTTATAGTATTTTCTGATAGTATATGGTTTCATAAAAAATTAATAAAATATTGTATATTGAAAATTATATTAATATTATTTTCTATTGCTTTTGAGTTAATAATAAATTATTGAAAATATAAATTTCTTTAATTGCAAGTAGTAACTAAATCAAATTAATGAAAGAAATATTTTTATCATAACAACATGCATTGCGTTAATACATAAAAATTAAATACATGTTTTAATTATTTAACATAATTTATTATGTTTTCTAGGAGTATATTAAGTACATATTGAATAATTTATATTCATAACAAGTATTAGCTTATCAGATTGGAATTAACACAACTTTTATCTTATAAAAATATATTTAGCACACATTATTATATTATATTGGTTATATAAATTATTAGTTACAAAAATGTCATGTTTATCATGGAAGTTCAATTTAACAATTTTTCAATCTAGCTATAAACCTAATCCATAGAAGATGTTAATGAATGAATCAGCATTGAAAAAAATTGCAAGCATTTCTTAGAAGAGTCCGAATAATAAGTAAGCACAGTCTATTAATATTTTTGTATTGCATAATGTTTCAAAATTATGAATCTTCCATTGGGTTAGGTGTATATTCTTAATATATCAATTTATAGTTCATAATTTCAGCTCTTCTGTTCCTTTTCCACAAAGTCCATGGCTGCTGAGTTAATGCAATATCTTTTCCTGGTAGGAGCTGGACCATCTTCAAATACGTGACCCAAATGCGCCGAACAATTTGCACAGCGGACTTCGGTGCGTACCATATCTGGCCGTGATATCAGCAATAAGAGGTTGCTACCAACTTTATTCGGTAAGAAGGATAATGGGATATTGGACAGAAAAGGATTTCATCATTCATGAAATATTTACACAGATTATTAGGACATTCACACAGATATAACAAATAATGGATAGATTTTGTTAATAAAAGGAAAAAAAATAATACCAATAAGATAATAAAAGCATTCACACAAGACATGATTTTGGTATAGGAGAGGATTGAAAATGAAATGAAGGAAAGACAGACAAACCTCATTAGAAATTTCTTCTTAACTTTCACCAGAAAAAAGATGAGTAATTCAAACTAAACTCATGCTAATGTTAATCAACGTATTTTCTTGTTTTTGGAAAGAAAGTAAAACAAGCAAGGGCATGCTATTAGTACAATTCTATAAATTGGTTAATGGAATTTATAATTTTACAAAGTGATACTACAATATTCACACTACACAACAATCACAATCAAGCAGGAATAGTGAATTAATATGGAAGGATTTTGAGAGGAACATAACATATGCAAATCTTAAAATAATATGCTTTTATATTAACATAAAAACTAGTAAAAACAAAAAAGCAAAATTGGCAAGTGAAACATTGATCAATAGTTGTTGTATATAAATATATTGAAGAGGACCAGAACTTGGATATTTCATAAAATTCTGTATTTTGGAATGTGCTAATTAATTAGTTTTTCGGCAGTGCAACTGATAGTGAATCAGAAGAGTAATTCAAGTTTTGGAAGTATATTCTAATTATTATAAACGGCCAATGATTGTTGCCATATATAATATGTGGAATGGCAGAATATTAGGTCAATCAAATTATGTACTAATCAATTAAGTTTTATATATTCCAAATTGTCTCTCTTCAACTTTATAAGCAAACACACAAATTTTGCTCTATTAATTAAATCAAATATATGCACTTGAAAACAATATTCATATAAAAATTGTGATTCTTACCTAGACTTGTATCATGATGTAAAGTAACTTTTCCTTTTTCAAGTACATCATTGAAAGCGGGCCATCCACAGCCCGAATCAAACTTATTATCAGAGCTGAATAACTCTTGACGACATACTACACAGAGATAGGTGCCTGGAGTCTTATGCTTGTTATAACATCCTGGAAATGATTTAATTAAAGTAAAAACCTTTTTTAGATACATATCTGATAAATTGACTAATTCTTATGATTAAATTGGTATGAGTCATAATTATAAAAATTAGCACATGGGCATTTTGCTGATTGTAAATTTAAATATAATAACTTGAGCGCTAGTTGTTATGATAGTGAAGTTATCTAAAAAGCTAAACAGCCAACTTCATTATAATCAAATATAATATTTTTATATATTTTATCATATTAATATTTTAATATGTGAGGTTAATTTCAATTTTAACCTATAAATAGTGAAAAGTGAAATTATGCAAAAAAATGTAAGTACCAAAAATAAAGATGTTTTTTGTGAAATTATAATTATACATTAGTTTGACATACCTGAAAAGGGTCTCTCGGTCCCTGCTTCTTGTGTAACATGATACTGAATAGAGGTTAACCTCTTTTTCAAAGCTTCTTTATCCTCCATGGTAGTATTTAATTTCTTACTCGATACTAAAAACAATATTTTTCACTTCTAATATTTGTACTTAACGTTATTATTGTTTACTTTCGGCCACAAAACAGCAAACTATTTTTAAAGGTTACTTTACCGTATCGATGAATGGCGATGACGATACTATAGTGATCTAACTCTAATTATAGAGCTCAATGTCAATCTCTGCGATAATGCATATGGGAGGTGGTTTAGTATTAAAAGAATTACGTTTGTGTATTAGTTGTTTGATTAATATTGTTGAAGTATTTGTGCGAATTTACAAATTATATTTTATGCCGCATACTTAAAAAAAATGTCGGGCAGTAATGTCAAATATTTATACAAAGATCAAGTTTATCAGATCGATTGCCAAATGTATATTGTAAATGTAAGCCAAGCTAAATTTGAAATAAACACATGCTTAAAATACACAATCAAAAGTGGTATTTTTAATTTGACCTATATATGAATCAAGACGTATTATTTATGCGTAATTTCATTCTGTGTAAAATATGCAGATATGAAAATCATAATTTTCTCCATATGCAATCATGTTTTTATAATTATAAACAAAATAGGTTTTTAACAGGCAAACTATATTCAGATATAAACGAAATTAAAAAAATATATTTTTTTTATATATTTTGAATCCCAGTTCGGCCATTTTTTAATTTGAAAAATTAAATATAACTTACAACCAAGTTCAGTTGAGTCAAAGTTCTTGAATTTGACAGATAGATTGTTGTTAAAAAAGCTATTTTTTGTTTATAATTAAAATACATCTTTTACCATTTATATTGTGCAGAAGCAGTTTCGTTTAAAAATGATTAACAAAAATTTCTAATTATTTATGTCATGTGATTTGTGATTCAAGTCATGTCTATTTTTGTATGTGTGTTACACCATACCGGAACTAATATCGCCCATTCCAGAAGTTACGACAGATGATCCGGAACTTGTACGTATTATATTTCTTAAAACAGCTCTAGTAATTTTTAACATTTCAGTTTATATTATTTTGTAAAAGATGTTCAATTACGACAGAAATGTGCGTCAAAATAAAATGTCACTTCTTACTACGTATATAAGGAAATATTACGCATGTGCTGAACTAAATTTGCCGGTGTAGAATGTGTGTCGTCAATTATCTACAAACGTGATTTACATTTAGAGCTCCAGTGGTAATGGGATTGAATTAGGATAATGTTTTGAGCAAATGTTATTTTTCAAAAAATCCTGATTAGATGTTTAATAAAAAATAGAATTTTTTTAGCAACACTACTAAAAAAATCGTAGAATCACCTGGCAAAATTTACATTCCTAAAAACTTATTTGTACACAAAGATTAGGCACACAATGCGTATTATGTACATATATAAGTTGCAAATCTTTCTATTAGAAACGAAGTTCAATAACTAAATAAATACAAAATTTCTGTCATAATGATATGATTAAATTAAAAGTGCCTCTTCATCATCACTCGAATGAATTGCGATATGTTTTCATTAGTTTATCTCTAGACTTCTAATAAATATCACAAAAAATTGCTTTAATTTGATAATAGAAGATTATAATTTTAATTAACATGTTTATAAACATGTTAATAAATGATAGAAAAACAAAAACTGCTTTGAATGATTTTTGAATTGCATGCATTGATTTTTGATTGCATTGATTGCAATCAAATATATATCCTTGGCGGTAAAATTCGCCAAAAAATATTGTATTATAATGTGTTATTCGACGACAACCCAAATGGTTGTCCCTTCTTTTTGGTATAAAATTATTATTAAATTTTTCAAAGAGAAATATTTAATATATATATATATAATATTTTAGCAAGATCTCAGAAGACTTGACTTGAAATCATATTAAAATCTATATTTTCAAGTGAATAAAACTGAAATAACTACTGATTCACATCAAACTGTTTGAGACTGGAATTGATCCTGGAACATTGTTGTTGCAAAATTAAAGTTATTAAGGATAGTACCAGGACTACTTTGAATGATAAAGAGAAAATACACAGAAACAAACATTTTTTTGTTAAAAGTATATTATAGAATCTTTTTGGCTTTAACTTTTAATAGATATTAGTGATTATCTAAATTTAATGATTATCTAAATTATTATTTTTTTGGTGCAATTTGCGGTAAAAATTAAATTCATTTCTTAGAACAATTATTTTTCAAACAGTTTCATTGCCAAAGCCAAAATACTTAGTTCAGCATAAATGAAAAGTATAATCTAATATAACATATGTTATAAACTGTATGAATCTTTACATGGCTGATATTTTTTGGGCTGTAACTTAAATTTATATTTTGTCTTTCCTGTGTTCCTTAGGGGATAGAGCTATGGACTTTCAAAACAGGAAGATCAGATTCGATGTCGACCCCGGATAGCTTGATGTAAAGCAGTAGTGACATCAGTTTGTACTTGAAAATATAGATAACAGAATGTTTCTAAGTGAAAATAATCCTTACCAGGAATTGATGCATCACTAAAAAAATTAACTGTATTCCAATAATAGTAATAATAAAAAATTATCAAATATAGATGACAAGGACTTTGATCTAATACAATTAAGAACATAAAAATACATGCATTGCAGTCCTTTAAACAAATTAGCCAAAGTAGTAAGCAATATTAAGCGAAAAAAATGATAACTTTTAATGTACATCTGTACAATGAATTAATATGTGCAATTAATTATTATAATATGTTACCAAAGTAATATGCATAAAGGGTATGGGTATTATATTATATGTTAGTATTTAAATTTTGTGTTAGTAGTTTGTTATGAAATTATTAGTGTTATATTATAAATTCACTGTACACAGCCGATTGGCGTATATAAATGAATAAATTAATATATAAATTAGTAGGATTGTTTCAGTTGCCATCTATAAGCCAATTCAATTAAGAAATCAGCTTACCAGCTCATAGGACTGGTTAAGTTCTAATTGCTATTAATAAGATAAAAATGTGTATATGTACTGAATTGATAGTAGTACTTATTAAGCGAATCCTTGTATAATCAAAGTTTTTATATTTGTGTTCATGAATTTATATTATATAAGTTCTTATGGATATTTTCCACGAGACTTTTCCCAACCCCTTTACTCCTTTGCTGAATTTATTCTAATGAGACATCCTTACTGTGTCTAATTTCATACGTATAATTAACTGCTGTAATTAAGTGCTATAATGACTAGTACTATTAAAAACTCATTTAAGTAGCACATCGAACGCATCACATCCTATTCGATAATAACAAAGTATGTACAATCGATAATTTAAAAATAATTGAGAAGGCAAAATAATGGTTACTGACCAACTATTATGCAATATGCATGACAGTGTGCGTTCTTTCAATGCCAAATAAGACCAAGCCGATCATTTATTTACGTGAGTTTGAATTTTCAGTGCATTATTGCATGTTGCAGCCAGTATGACGTTCTGTTCTCACAATCACAATCAGTTGCAGTGTGCATCTACTGCGAGTTGCGTCCGGTAAGTGACACAAATACTTCTTGTAAATTAAATTTGTAAAATTTATTTTATTCATTATAATTAGTCCTTTGAAATCGAATTTATTACTAAAACCTTAATTTATAAACATTGCTGTTATTACTTTGTTTATTATGTACATGTAGCATAAGTTTTTAATTTTAATTGAATTAAACATGGTAAAGGCAGTGGCGGATCCAGATCTGGCACCAGGGGGTGTCACATAATTAAATTATGTATAGAACATATATTCGCAATACGATTAGAAAATCCTTAAATTTTAGAAGTCTTTGACTCCGCCGTTCGTCTATAATAAGTTATATGTTCAAGTTATAAAATGTGTTTGGTAACAAAATACATAATTAAAATCATTATAAAGTAATTTTATTGCTAAATTAGTGTTCTATCTAAAAACAAGCTCAGGGGGGGGGGGAGCTCATAACCCCCGTGACCCACCCCCTGGATCCGCCACTGGGTGAAGGATAGCATTGTTCTCATTGTTAATTATTTCAAATATTATATTAATATATTTTATATATCGTATAACTCATATTGAATTTTTTTTTATTATAATAATAATATAGATATACCAGTTAAATTTTGGTCTAAAATTTTGGTTAAATTTTCAAATTGGTCCTTCTGATTATGTTGTTTAGGAATGTAGTACAATTTCGAGAAATTCCTTAATATTATTGATTGTACTAGATATTTACTTCAATATTAAATGAACATTATAATTAAATGTTGAATAATTATAAACAATGTGATTGGTATTGTAATCAATGTATGCTTTATTTATCAAATTTCATTGCTAAATAAAAATTTTATACAGGTGAGAGTTCTATAGCAGAAGTATTCATAAATACTTCAATAGATGAATGACCGGTAAAAAATGTACATTTTTATATCTCATATTTGTGTATAAATTTAAATTGGCTATGAAATGGATATAAAAATATTGTATACGAAAAATCAATATGATACAATTTCAATAAAATACATTTGGAACAAAATATAATAGTATATTAAAAATTATATTATTTTAAGTGGATAAATGCTCATAAAAGCTAATAAAAACGTGTATAGAATATCTAACGAGTTATTTCATTATTGGTTGATTTAATATATAAAAAAAATGTATAAAGAGTTTATATAAATAGAAAAATAGGCATGACGATTTTGATATTTATAAAGCACTATTTAATGTTAAAATAAAGTTTAAGAATTAAAAAAATTGCTTTGTAAACGAAGGTCTGAATATTTGTATTAATAATTATACTTTTCTCTCAAATTTTTCAATTATTTTAATCTTACAAGATGAACATTACAATTAGTCTTATTTCATCAATTTAGGCTCATCCCACCAATGTAAAAGAAATAGGATCATTTTTTTATATTTTATTCAGAATGATTTATTTATCCAAACATGTTCATTTATTTTGTGAAACTATACACAATATATTACAAATAGTATCACTCGATAATCGATAATTATAAATAATATCATTATTTATGTGTTATCGTTAAATATTTCCATAAATGAACAAATTCATTGAACGCACATGTGCAATGAATTTATACATTTTCAAGAAAAAAATTAAATTACAATTTATTTTGTTTTACATATTTCATTTATAATGACACTATTAGTTATCCTAAGGTATGTATTTATGCAAGAATAATAATATTTTTTGGTAAGCGTGACGAAAACTAATTTAGGTGTAAACACACGTGAACATAATCAACACATTGGCGTATATTTTTCCTGATTTATTATTTTACAAGTTTAAATCACATAAATAAGAAAATAATAAAATTAAAAAAAATATTGATACATAGCTAGTTATCAATTTATTTAGAAAGAATTATTACTTATGAATTAATCTCGAGTTTATAAATGTTATTTTGCTAATATAAATTATACGTTTTTTATAGTTGTGTTCTATTGGGTCAAATTAACAAGTTCGATGACTTAAGACAAAATTCTTGAAGACAACTTGTAATTTATATGAAAATAAAATATCTGTATTATTCGACGCCAAAAAGCATTGTCTTTGTTTATACCGTAAAGCAGATTGTAAAAATGATTTTTAAATCATTTTCTTCAATTTTTTTTTCTCTGCACGTCCTTTACTGCACTAACATAAATGCGCAATATTTAGTAAACATTTTCTCGTAATTGTTTTGATGAGCAGTGTAATAGTCTATTATCAACTGCGTGTATAAACATTACATGTTTGAAATAAATATTCATTGTACTCAAAATGCAGCTTACATATTTATATTTTCATAATTATGATTATGAAGGTTTGCTTATAAATAATGAATATTATAGATCTTTAACTGCAGTTCACCATTTATTTCACGATGGATCGTTGGCAAGGTAAGGTAGCAGTGGTGACTGGTGCAAGTGCAGGAATTGGAGAAGCAATTGTAAAAGACCTGGTTAAAGCAGGAATGAAAGTTGTGGGACTTGCCAGGAGGATCGAGAAAATGGAAGTAAGAAAATATAATTGAAGGTTTAGTATCATTTGTAAACAAGAGCATGTTTGTGGCTCCAGTAGAGTACCTATTATCTTTAAACTAAGTCACAGGGATTAGATTCTGTTCAGGCATCAGATATTAAGTAGTGGTTATGTTTGATTTCATTTGTTAATTTAATATTTTTCAGGAGAATGCAGCTTCAATGGATACATCCAATGATGGAGAATTTTATCCAGTTAAATGTGATGTATCAAAAGAGCAGGACATCCTGGACGCATTTGCTTGGGTCAAAGAAACTTTTGGAGGAGTTGATGTATTGGTTAACAATGCTGGCATTTCAAAGTACGCATTTGTTTTAAAAACTTAAAACTTGATGATGATTCTGAATGTATTAATTTAGATGGTATTAATTTATTTTAGGAATGTGAATCTGACCGATCCTGATAATACTGATGATATTCGCAGTGTTGTGGATGTGAATATTTTTGGTCTTTTCTTCTGTACAAGAGAAGCATTTAATTCTATGAAGGAACGTGATGTTGCTGGACACATAATACATATCAATAGGTAAAGTTAAATTTTTGTTGTTTAATAGATTTTGAACATAAAAATATTGTAATTGAATTAAAACTATTGTCAGTATTATTAAATCCTTGCCATCACAGGTACATTTTTAGTTCAATCTACCACCATTTTTTTTTACATTTTATCAGATAAAAATAAATTATTATATATAATTGTATACCTGCACACTTAAAATGTGACGATCTAATAGTCGGTGCAACATTCTTTCAACCATGTTATTACTTTTTAATTGTGTTGCAATTGACGTCATATTTGCACAAATCATGCGTGCAGTAATTACTTGAAGAGATAAATAGAATGTGAGAATAAATTATGGGAAATATGATACTTTGGAATAACTTGAAATTAGGGCAGAACAAGATTTATTCAGATACTTATATATGGTATAAGATTATAATTACACTCAGCACTGAAACACGTCTTAATGAACAAGATAGAAGAAAACATTATCAATAATTGTTTTATATTTTAAATAAATATTACATATATTTACATTTCATATTTATTTAGTGTTTTAGGCCATTGGGTCCCTGAAATTCCTGGATTCAATCTAAATATTTATCCTGGCACAAAATTTTGCTGCACTGCTTCTACTGAAGTTCTACGTAGAGAAATGATTAAAATGGGAAATAAAACTAAAGTTACGGTATGTTTAATTATAATACATTATTAGATTGAAATTATTTAATAGAATTATTCTATTTGCAATGCAATGAGCCATTATTTTTTTTAGAGCATTAGTCCAGGATTTGTTGCAACAGAAATGGTTGGCAAAGAGTCGACACCCGAAAAGGTTGAAGAATTTTTGAAAAATACTCCACATCTTTTACCGGAAGATATTTCTGAAGCAGTGCTTTATTGTTTAGGCACACCAGAACACGTCCAGGTACAATATATTAAAATAATAATTAGTTTAATTCAAATGAAATTAGTTTAATTCAGTTTAGTTCATGTGATAGGATGTGGCTAAATCAATCTCTTCTACAGATGTTTTATAAAATTAGATTATAATTTGTTTAAAAATGAATCATTTAGATTAATTATCTATTATCTTATTTATAGGTACATGAATTGATCATAAGGCCTCAAGGAGAGAACTTCTAAAAATTGCATTGCTAATATATACAGACCCGTATCGCTTTTCTCATTAAAACACCCAGATTGCACGATTCACAATAAATATTATTATTAGATTATAATATATATGTGGCATTTCAATAAACTTATTTTATTGAATGAACGTCTTTGTTCATAATTATTCAATTTACAGAAGATTTGATAAACGAAAGTGTGAAAATGAAACATATGTTTTAGTACTAAAGTCAAAAATGAGAGTTGACTTAAAATATTTCAAATCGTATTTGCGGTTATATTAAATACTTGGAAATGGATTTGAAAATAAGTAAAAATACATTATTATTTTTCAAACATTATTGTTATTTATTATTCATTACTAATACAGTTTGTTCAGACTTTTTTTAAATTTTGCAACTAAGTTATGCATTTGCAAAAAGTCATAAAAAATTTGATGATTTCTAATTTGTATATCCTTGCAGCATTTGAAATTGGTTAAAATAGTAATACTTTTTTTAATTCAAATAATTGTTTTAGTTGAAATATATTTATCAGTCATCTCGATATTTGATGAATCAGCAAGGGACTCGCGTCGATTAGTTTTGGGCGACGATCGGCCGAGCCGTTTCTTTGTTATTAGCAGATAAGTGCGAAATTTTTCGAAAAAGATATAATAATTAGTATATACATATATACCTTTCTTTTACAAATCATGCGTGCGCGCTCTTGATAATCGAATATTAAGTGATGTTACATAACTTCCGTATACACTTCTGGATATTAAAAAGGCATCACGCAAAAACTCGTATAACTATGACTTGACAAAAATATAATTCAAGGACAGATTAATTTTTGGTGTGATTATCTCCATCAAGATTCTCATATGGACATCGCATCATTGTGATTTATCATATATCAGCAGCACCTTGTATAAATCACATATCAGAAATATTCAGTAGTGTATCGTCTGCTTGTGATATCAAAGGTACACGAATTAATTAGGAATCTGCAGTTTATTTTAATTTTTATTAATTTAATAAGTGAATAAAAATAAATAAAAATGGAACGTTGGCGAGGAAAAGTAGCTGTTGTTACAGGAGCAAGTGCAGGAATTGGAGAAGCTATTACTAAGGATCTTGTGGAAGCAGGATTGACGGTCGTGGGCTTGGCAAGAAGGAAGGAAAAAATGGAGGTATATTTTATATTTATTTAAAAAATTATTTATTTTTAGGCAATAAAACTTAAAACTGTTGATAATGGATATAAATTGATATAACAACATTTTCATTATAAATAAAAAAAAATTACTCAAAGGAATTTTTTTTTGCTTTTTCGATGTTTCAATCCATTCAGGTTTGTTTAATCCACCAGCATATTTTGTATTTAATTAAATCGTATTATTTTTATAGTATTTTATACTTCGTCCAAAATATCGTACAAAATTAAACTTGACATTGAATCATTGAATATTATCTATATACAATTAAATTGATAACGCCTCCAGTCCAAATTATCAATTATCAATTATCATTTTTTCTTGTCAGGAAAACGCTCAATCAATGAACCTGAAGAATGGAGGCAAATTTTTTGCCCGCAAATGTGATGTTTCCAAAGAACAAGATATATTGGACACTTTTTCATGGGTTAAGGAAAATCTTGGCGGTGTTGATGTCTTGGTTAATAATGCTGGAATCGTCAGGTGAATTTATAATTGATAATTGAATGAAATATCGTGATTTATCATAATTGATTTGATTATCATTTGTACATTAACGGTATTGTGTGATTTTTATATTATTTTCAATATTGTATTAATATTGATTGTTAGATAAGTTTTACAATAATGATTGGGAGTACCTGGTGTTAACTAAATTTCTAAAGTTTGGTGCACATAAGGATATATATATATAAGCATTTATTATAAATTGCATTAAATTGTAGATTTTACTGTTTTTTATTAACAGAATGAATATGCTGACTAATTCTGGTAACTCAGATGATCTACGAAGTGTATTAGACGTGAATGTGCTGGGACTTTGTTTTTGCACAAGAGAAGCCTTTAATTCCATGAAGGAACGTGATGTTGCTGGACACATTTTTCACATAAATAGGTAACTAGGCAAATTTTATTGAAGACTAACAATTTAATTACAATATATTACTACCAACGATATATTAATATAATTTAACTTTTAAGTGTGGTTGGTCATTCGATACCATTGGTTCCAAATGTTCCTCCTACGATGAACATGTATCCTGGTTCTAAACATTGTGTTACTGCACTTACTGAAACACTTCGTCAAGAAATGATGTATTTGAAGAGTAAAACTAAAATTACTGTAAGTATTTATAATTTCATAAAGCATTTAAAGATTAGTACTATCCATAATCAAGGATATCAATTAATATGTTTTTAATGCGAAACTGAACAGTGTACAAAATACAAAGCTCTAGATATCCGGACATTCATTTTAATCTTATAGTAGGAAAAGAATAAAATATATATATATATATATATATATATATATATATATATATATAAATCGATGGTTAAACTTTATAGTTTTGGATACTACTTTATTCTACTGTTTCTATATTAATAGAGTATTAATAATTTCAAAGAAAATTAAATGAAATGTTTTTATGAATATTTCTAGAGTATTAGTCCAGGCGTAGTTTTAACGGAAATTTTCGATGCAGCAATGGATGAAGAAAAAAAGCAAGAATTTTTAAAATATAACCCATATCTTAACCCAGAAGACATTTCTCAAGCTGTCCTTTACTGCTTAAGTACACCTGAACATGTCCAGGTCAGTTGATTTTTATTAAAATTAGCTTAAAATTTCTTGTGCGATACTTTTATTTATTTATATTTTGGTTTAATATTTTAGGTACATGAACTTACAATTAAACCTGTTGGAGAGAAGTTTTAATAAGAATTTTATAGTACAAAATTTAAATGAAAGGAAATTTATGTAACATATACATAAGGATACAAATGGTTGAATATTGAGATTATTAAGAATATATATAATAAAGGTTTGGTAGCTTAAATATTGTTTTATTTTTTTTTTAATTCTGAAAAACTAAATAAATAAACTAAGGAAATTTTAACTAAATTATGAATCGGAAGTGTAGATATATTCAGTATATTATTTTTGAATGGCACGCATAATTTATATTTTGCAATGCTTATAATTTTATTATCTTATCAGTGCGTTAAATTATTCACATGAAATTATATTTTTGCATTGTGAAATGAAATCCATATATTCGAAAACTAAATTTCCTAAAACAGACATGTAAATACAGAACAAAATTGTTAGAGAAGTATTTTCTTTTTGAAGAAATAAACTATACATTTTCTTTTATTTTTTGTAAAATATTATATTTCTAGTAATATTTCGTTATTAAATTTTAACTTTAAGGGTAGAATAATAAGGTATGTGAGTTTACTAGTCTTTTTATGTATTACAAAAATTACATCTATTTGATGACCTAATGAATATTTGTGTCCACTGTAATGAATCTGTTAATCAGTTACTTGTGGTTTTAATCAAGATTTAGATCCAGACTCAAATTTGTTCTATTAAATTACCTCTAATAATTTATTTTAAAAATGGATCGTTGGACTGGAAAAGTAGCTGTCGTAACCGGAGCAAATTCCGGAATGGGCGCAGCAATTTCAAAGGATCTTGCAAAATTGAGCATGCAAGTGGTTGGTTTAGATCTTCAGATCCAAACTATTCAGGTAATTATTTTTGTTCTGTGCGTTAAAATCTAGCAAATAACAACTGTTTTCAAAAAATTGCAGGAAAATGCTCATAAGATGAGTAGATCAAATGGGGGAGTGATTTATCCACGAATTTGTGATATAAGAGAAGAAAAACAAGTAGTTGATTCATTTACTTGGATTTCGGAAAAATTTGGTGGCGTGGATGTTCTTGTCAATTCTGCTGGCATTATAAGGTACAATTTTTTATTAGGATCCTACGTAATGTAGTAAAAATAATGTAATGTAATATCGTAGAAAGAATATGCTAACGAATGTAGGAAATACAAATGATCTTCGCGATGTATTAAAAGTCAATGTACTAGGATTGTGTTTTTGTACAAGAGAAGCCTTTAAATCCATGAAAGAGCGTGATGTTTCTGGACATATAATTAACATTAATAGGTAAGATTAATAAAAGTCTTTGTTATTAGATATAATAAATATTATAAATCATTTATTTTAGCATGGCAGGACATTCTATTTTATCATTCCCAGGAATTGCCCCAATGACAAATATTTACGCTGGTTCAAAATATTGTCTAACAGCACTTTCTGAAACATTACGTCAAGAAATAGCTTTCTTGAAAAACAAAACTAAAGTTACAGTAATTATTAAATAATTGTTTTATGCATTTTTAAATTGTAATTTAAGTTAGTTATCGGGTATTATTACATTTTAGAGTATTAGTCCAGGTCTGACAGCAACAAATATGACAAGAAACTTCTCATCTGATAAAACTAAAAATAAAATTACAGATCGATTTCCTCAATTGCTTCCTGAAGATGTATCGAATTGTGTCAAATTTTGTTTGAGTCTTCCTGAACATGTTCAGGTAAATTAATTACACAATATTGATGACTTTCATTGTTTAATATATTTTGTTCAAATTATGATTTAAGAAATATGTTAATCCTAATTTGTAGTTGATTTTGCATTAAATATTTCTTAGGTGAACGAAATAATGGTGAGAGCAGTCGGTGAAAATATATTATAAAAATGATTAATTTGTTATGTAGATTATTTGTATTTCCTAAGCGATCAGAAATTATATAAAAATATCTAGAAGATAAATTGTTTTTAATAATTTTTTTGAAAATGAATATCTAACAAAAAAGTCTAATGTTCTTTAAATTTTAGGCAATAAATATACAAATATAATTGCGTTGTTCTTGATACATCATGAAAAATATAAAAACTACCAATGAATATAATAAATTTTCTGCATGTGACTTATTATCGTACTTTTGTATTTCAAGTATTAATGTATGTTCATCTCTCTATTAAAGTTTCATGTTATTAAGTTTCGTGTTATTTTATTATGTTTCTCTATTTTATTCATTTCTTTTTAAAGCCCAAATCATACTTTAAATGATATAAAAAACTGATAAAGTATTATATTATATATTATATTTTTTATCTAGTTAATTAATTTCATAACAAAACTAATTGGTATGCATATTTTTATTAGGAAAGGATTCTTGAATAATTATATATTATATAATTGTTTTATTTTCAAACTTGTTCTTCATATTTGTTTATCTCTAAATTTAATTTTGCATAAAGATAATGTGGAAAATATGTTTATCAAATATTTCCAATAATTTTGCATATTTATCATATTTATGGATATAGTTAAAGCAAGCAGGCATATTTAATAATTGAAATACTTTAGTTACAGTAAAGGTGCAATAAGTACTTAACCGAACAATTTTATGTAATATTTTGAAGCTATTCATTTAATTTTTTTTTAAATATTTACCTAAAATCAATAACATTTAATTTAATTAATTAATACTATTAGCCTTTTAATCTTTTTCAGAATGAATCGTTGGCTTGGCAAGGTAGCTCTGGTCACTGGTGCCAATTCTGGTATTGGCGCCGCGGTCTCCAAAGACCTCGTCAAAGCCGGCATGAAAGTTGTTGGCGTGGATCTTCAAACAGAATTTATGGAGGTACGATAAAATAATAAAATTTATAATAAAATTATTAGATGAAATTTGATGTTTGCAGAAAAATGCGGAAATGCTTGATAAAACCAAAGGCGGTGAACTTCATCCACGTCAATGCAACGTCACCATGGAACCGCAAGTTCTGGATACTTTTGCATGGATTAAAAAATCTTTTGGAGGAGTTGATGTTTTAGTTAATAATGCAGGAATTATCAGGTAAATAAAAGTCATAAGTTTCATTATATATTTCATGCATGTAAAAGAATTATTGCTTAAATTTTTTATTAACTGGATCTATTTTTCTAGAATGAATATGCTGACGAATCCAAAAAATACTGATGATTTACGTGCTGTACTAGATGTAAATGTTCTTGGTTTATGCTATTTTACCAGAGAAGCTTTTAATTCCATGAAAGAACGCGATGTTAGTGGTCATATCATACATATAAACAGGTGTGCATAATTTGAAAATAATTATATGATAGCGGTCATTAGAGTTGGCTGGTACAGCAGTGTGGGTACTATTGATAAATTATTAGCACAGCAATGGTAAATAATAGTTGGCCTGAAATGTTACAGTGTTATTAGTAGTTTAAGTTCAATGATATACAAATAGTTTTTTTTTATTTTTAAGTTTGACTGGACATCATGTTGGCGTGAACCCTGAAATTCCACCTACACTTTGCATGTATCCAGCATCTAAATTTTGTGTAACCGCCCTGACCGAAACTCTTAGACAAGAAATGGTATATTTGAAAAATAAAACTAAAATAACGGTAATTATACAACCTTTTATTCCTTATAATTTATAATTAACAACAGGAAAAATATTTTTGTGATTCTTATTATCATAGAGTATTAGTCCTGGAGTCGTCGACACTGGAATATTAAAGACTTTTGTGTCTGAAGAGTATCGGGCCCAATTTTTGGAGCAAAACCCACATTTATCACCAGAAGATGTGTCTGAGGCGATTTTGTTCTGTTTGGGAACATCAGAGCACGTACAGGTCTGGCGAAAATTCATATTTAATAAAATATTGTCCTTCAAAATGCTATTGCTCACAACAATTAATTTCTAATATAACATAACAAACGTATTGTTGAATAAATAAAAATTTCATATTTGATTTGTTTTCAGATTCACGAACTGACAATTCGACCAGTGGGTGAAAAATTCTAAAGGTTTGAAGTATTTTTACAAAATACAGGAAATAGTTTATCATTTGTTTGTATTTATTCCGGTTATAAATATATTTATGCATAATTAAATATTATTATGCTATCTTTAATTTATTTATTCAAGTTTTTGGACTAGGTAAAAAAAGCATCTCACTTGTGAATAACTAAAAATCGCATTAGTCTATATATATCTGAATATTTCTTTTGAATTGATATTATATTTTATCAGCATGAAAATTGTATTTGCATATCATATATTTTTTCGCCTCTCAGCTCACAAATCTCTAAATAAATATTCTGCTACTTTCAATTGAAGACGATTTAATTTTATTAGTCTTGCTTGTGCTGTTGTGTATTCAACATGAAAAAATATGTGACATGAAAAAAAAAATTAAAAATATATAATAATTCTAGAAATATTCCATAATTTCTGGATTTTAGTAAAAACAGTATTTTGGTTTCATATTGATTTAAATAAATAATTTAAATTAAAATATTATATTTTGTTTCATAGTTTTTTAATTATTTTTACCAACACAACCAATTTCGATTCTTATAATTTTGTGAGTGTCTCACTATAATTATCTTTTAATTGCTTAGTTTCTTACATATTTATCGTTTTGTAGATTACATAAATTAAAGTAAATAACATTGATAAGCAAATTTAGAGCGGTTCTTTGGAATACTGTAAATTGTGTTTTGACCGAGGTAAGTTAAAATATTTATTTCACATAACTTTTTAAAAGAAACTTTGAGCTATAAATTGGGATAAAATTGAAAAACATAAAAATAAGTTTTATCAGTTGATATATTGTATGATAAATTTACATTTTACTCTTCTTAAAATATTTATACATCAGTCGTTTGCATTATTATTATGATAATACTCACGTGTTTATTAGATTAATAACGAACTCAAACAAGAAAAATGTAAATGTATTTCTTCGTGACAATTTTGTATATGTAGGATAATGTTATCTAGTAAACAATATTTATATGTGTTAAAATTATTTTTTGCTCACAATTTTTTTTATCACTTACTCATAGAAATTTGAAAATCACAAGACATGGATCGTTGGCAGAATAAAGTAGCTGTGGTGACCGGAGCATGTTCCGGAATTGGTCAAGCTGTGGCCAAAGATCTCTTGAAGGCTGGAATGAAAGTTATTGGTTTAGACATTAAAGCAAATAAAAATGAGGTGAATACATTATAACCCTACTTCATTTTCATATTTTATTAAATTCCATTATATTTTTATTTTTTATTATTTCTCATTTCAAAGCAATGTACTATTGGTGAGTTCTATCTAAAAGCTTGTGATATTTCTAAAGAAGATGAGGTAATTGAGTCATTCAAATGGCTTAGAGAAACTTTTGGTGGCGTTGATGTTTTAGTGAATTGTGCTGGAATAGTCAGGTATTTTAATAAAAACACACATATATAATTATTTATACTCTTGTTTTATTATTACAAAATAATTAAATATAAATATTTCAGAAAAAATATGTTAACAAATCCTGGAAATGCAGAAGACTTACGAAAAGTCTTAGACATCAATGTATTAGGACTATGCTTCTGCACCAGAGAAGCTTTTAATTCTATGAAAGAGCGCGACGTTGCTGGTCACATAATTCATATCAACAGGTAATTGATATATAAAAAATAATTTATTTATATGCTTTAATTGTGTAATATTTGTTTTAGTTTATATGGACATTCGATTTCTGCTAATCATAATACACCACCTACAATGAATATGTATCCAGCATCAAAATACTGTGTTACTGCTTTAACTGAATTACTTCGACAAGAAATGATGTATCTTCAAAGCAAGACAAAAGTCACGGTAAGAAACTTATTTTTTCTAGTATTAATATATTTATTAGTAATAATCAAGGTCATTAATTAGATAATTATAATAAAAATCAAGGTCCATATTTAAAAAACAAAAAATGATGAACACTCTGTTAAAGCATTGGTAGAGTTTAAGGTAGCCTTGAACTGTAACTTTGATTTTTGTGTAAATTTTTGCAGCTATTTTATTTTAACTTTGTGGTGGTATAAATAATTAATCACATCCCAATATGCTTAATTCCCTAGCCGATGTTAAATAATTTTTAACTTATTTTTGATTTTTGAAGCGAAATATATCGCATTTATTTTTCATATATTGTTTTGATTATAATTTAATTAAATAATGAATTGAATATAGCTTATGTTTATCATAAAATATGTATTTATACTATTTTGTTTTTCTCAGAGTATTAGTCCAGGAGTTGTAAATACTGGTATTTTGAATGATATATTTCCTGAACCCGATCGAAAGGAATTCTTCAATCAAAATCCACATCTGCAACCAGAAGACATTTCACAAGCAATTATGTACTGTTTAAGCACACCAGAACATGTCCAGGTACGTAATTTTGAATTTTATTAATTTTTTTAAATTTGTTTTTACCTAAATCATAAAATTTTTAGGTTCATGAGCTGACTATACGCCCTATTGGAGATAAGTTTTAGGAAAAAATATTTCATTTATTTATTTGCATAAAAACGGCGTTGTAAAAAGTATTAGCAATTAAATAATTGCTCAACGAATTGGTTCTATATATTATATCTTCAAAAACAAAGTACAAAGTAAATCTAATTATAAATAATTATCCATATAATACTGTAAAATACTTGATTAATCTGTATAAATATATAATCCACTCCACATATAACTAATTTCATTAATATGTAAATGCTTTAATCTAATTATTTTGTAAAATATTACCAAATTTTCTAAAACCGAGTATAATTTTAATTTCTAATTTAGTATTGTACTTTATTTGTAATTATTACGGCGATTGGTCAATATCATTGCCATAAATCAAATACTTCCATGCAACCTTTAATTATTTCATGATAACTTATCTATTTTAAGATATGAATTAAAATATATAAAGATGTTTACCAAAAAAACAATCAAAATCTAAACAGCTACCAAGTGTTTCGATTGAATATAAATTCATAAAAAAAAAATTTTGATAAAAATGGATCGCTGGCAAGGTAAAGTGGCGGTTGTTACCGGAGCAAGTTCCGGAATCGGAGCAGCCATTGCAAAAGATCTTGTCGAATCCGGGATGAAAGTTGTGGGATTGGCAAGACGTCTGGAACGTATGGAGGTAATTAGATATTTTTTAGTTACAATTGTAATTAAACTCTTAGGAAAATACCAAAGGTACATTAAATTGCAATTAAAGGATAACTTATTTTGGTTATTTCAATTACAAGCTGTAAATACATTCAATGCCTCTTAGAAGTATTTGTCAAATTATATCATATCTATTTGAAAGATAATACAAATACATTGCATTACAAAATTATAAAATTTAATAATAAAACTATAGGGTTAATTCTATAAATTTTGTTCTGAGTCTAATAGGGTGTGTGAACCCTGGCAAAAATCATAAAATATCAATTTTCATTTTATTTATTTTTTTATTTTACTTATTTATTAATACTATTTTGATTGTCATTTCAATAGCAAGATGCTGCAAAAATGAACACTAGCAAGGGCGGGCATTACTACCCAAGAAAATGTGATGTCTCTAAAGAAGAAGAAATTCTAGAAGCTTTTGCTTGGGTTAAGAAAACCTTTGGAGGTGTTGATGTTTTGGTTAATAATGCTGGAATCGTCAGGTAAAATATATAAAATAAATATCTATTTTCTAAATTTTTTCGAAACATTATACTTTGAATGGAATCATCATCATCATACCTTAGCATTTGAAAATATTAAAAATTTTGCTATTAGTTTTGGAGCTACAGATACTAAAATTGGATATTTTTTTGTTTTTTTATTTTAGAACTATTATATTCTATCATACGTTCATATCTTTAACTGATAGTACATGTTTATTATTATTTATAAATAAATTATTTTTTTTATTTGTATGATAATTTTTACTAGTGTAGTAGTGTATGCAACAAATTACTTCTTCAAATAATATACATTATAAAGAAGAATTAAAAATGTGTTTATATTAAAACATAATGAAAAACTGTAGTTTTTTCATTGTCATTTTTCATAGAGCTAATATGCTAGTAAATCCTGGAAATTCTAATGATCTCCGTTCTGTGATTGATGTAAATGTGATGGCTTTGTGTTATTGCACCAGAGAAGCTTTTAATTCCATGAAAGAACGAGATGTTGCTGGGCATATCATACACATTAACAGGTAGTAATACCTACTTATACATTTTATTTTTATATGATTAATATTTTTTTCAAATTTTTAGCATTGGTGGTCATTCCATCCCATCCGCAGGCGATGCACCACCAACTGCCAACATGTATTTTGGATCCAAACATTGTGTCACTGCTTTAACTGAAACACTCAGACAAGAAATGATTTATTTGAAAAGCAGAACCAAAGTCACGGTAAATAAGTCACAATTTAGCTCTATTAAAAATATTTATTTTTAATTTGTTTTATTTTGCCTAACCATTGTTAAAGAGTATAAGCCCAGGAGTAGTCGACACAGAAATCTTTGATGGTTCTTTTCCATCTAAGGAGATTAAAGAAATGTTTCTTGCTAATAATCCCAGCTTGAAATCTGAAGATGTTTCTCAAGCTGTTTTATATGCACTGGGAACACCAGAACATGTGCAGGTTAGTGAATTTATTAACTAATGTTATTATTATTTATTAATTCACATCTTATAAAAATCTGCTACGTTCAATTCAATGTAAAAAGTAGCTCTTTTTTGCTTTTGTGTTTATTCATCATTTATTTTAAGTACTTACAATATTCAATAATAGATTACAAATCAAATAATTTCTTTAGACATAAACATTTAGTATAAATAATATAGCTACTTTAATTATTTTTTAGGTTCATGAACTTATTATCAAACCCATTGGAGAAAAATTGTGATGTGAATGTTGCACACTATATATAATTATATTATTATTGTATATAGTTACAAGATATTCAAAGAAAATATAAGTCATTTAAAATATTACTTTTGTATATAAATTTTATACTGCAAATTAAAATCACACATCAATTACAAACATAATGATGTCTTGTATTTTTGTACCATTACAGAATAGATCAATGTTTACTTTTCTTAAATTTTAGTAAAAACTTATTAAGTAATTAAGAATTCATGGTTTATCTAATCTAATCATAGCAAAATTATTTTTAAAGAATACCGGAAAAAAAATCAACTAAATTCAATTGGACCATTGATTTTACTTAATATTTTTAAATACTAATTAAGTGAACTAGGTTCTTTAAATCAAACCAATTTAAATGCTATTAAATTCATATTTATAACTATAATTACTTTTATTTTATATTTTAATAGCTTGTCAATACATATAGATTTTAGATATGGATATAATGTAGATATAACTGATAATTTTAAATGTGGAGGAGGCGTATTGATTTCGAATTACACAAATGTACAATAGAATGATATTTATATTCAGTTTTAACCTATCGGTTAGATATTTCCTATAAAAAAATCGAATGAAATATTTTTGGTAAAATTCGCATTATATACTAGAAAGAAGTTGCAATTAGTAGACGAGGGTTGCAGAACTAGTGGACTTTGATGCATATAACAATTTATTAACAAAAAAGGTAACAATGAAAAATTATATATTTACATATTGATAATAGCGCTTAAATTAATTGATTCTAAATAAACTGAAATGAAATTGAAACTTTAGTTTAGTCGAAATCGAAAGTTTCAAAAATACTATACCACTATATTTTTTTTAAATCTTAATAGCTATCAAAATATTTTTGTAAAAAATGAAACTCGTTCCATATTTCTCAATTATGATACACTTTGTGAAAAAAATAAAAATTAAAATATTAATATTTATAAACCGTTATCGGTGTTTCGAAAATAAGTCAATAATACAACTGTTATAGTATTTGCTATCTTTGTTGAATATTTTTTTTAATTGCAGTCCTAGAAAAAACGTCATAGTGCGCACGAATAGCGCGAATGCATTTGTTCGAGCATGTTTATAAATTGCTGTTGTCCCATTAGCAATTGTATTCATCCTCTGAAAACAAGTCAGGTCAGTTCTGATATTATCGAAGAACGAAATTGGACATCGGTAAGCGATTTATATACAAGATATTTTTGCATGCAATAATCCTAGATGTTCATGATAATTGCTATTTAAATAACAGCAGCTATTAAATATTTAAACATGCTTTTTGACACGAAATAACATGAATAACAATTTGTAAACTGGTAATATTTTTCATTTTAAAAGTATAAAATCATATTATTTTTTTATCATTTACAATATAGATTCCCACTCCACATGTCTTATATATACATTTTCGTATATTTCATTTTTTCATAAAATCATAATTATAGTGATATTAGCACTGAATATTTTTTAACATATTAATAATATTATTAAATTTTATTAATTTATATTTTTTTTATTTTTGATACAAAAATTTATCATTATTTTTGTCATATTTTTTACAATTCAGTATCATATGTTCATAGAACAAATAATCTGAGTACAGAATATTGCGCGTTAGAATAACGTGATTGCTAAATCCAAACAACTAATAATTTGCATATTGATATTTCAAACATTATATAGAGTTATTTAGATTTACAAATTCCAGTAAACACAGCAAAAATATTTTTGAGAAGATTGTGGTACAGGAGATTTACAATATTTTTATTTATTTTCTTAAAAATAGTAATCAAATACATTGGAATCTTATGGATTATTGTTACATTAAAAGAGTGAAAAAAGCTAGAATAGAAAGAAAAAAATAATTTAGGATTTAATTATCAACAAAATCAGCTAAAATTGTTTCTTTATTCGTTTATAATTGTCGAACAATTCTGTAGAATAAGTTTTGTAATATAGTTTCAATAATGCATAACCTAACTACTAGTATAATATTTTGAATATAAACATAAATTTATATACACATTTATAAAATTGTTTAAAATATGTATACTTTTTGAATAAGTGCAATATATTTTTTATAAAATACGCTATAATAAATCAATTATATAAAAGGATAAAAGGACAATAAACAAATTCTGTTGCCACGAATGTATTTGCTAATTTTTGGAGCTTTTGTGTAAAGTTTATTATTATTCAAAAAAAATACAGTATTTTAATGAAGAGTATTCAAAAAGAATATACATTTTTGAATTTGAATGACAATATATAAGATATAGAGAATGACATAATTTTTCGGAATAATAGCAAACTAAATACAACAGCTAAAATTATTGGCATATTTCAATCATAGGATTTCTTTACATAATATCGTATCAACAAAATACTATAAACACTATTTGTTCTAAATACTTAGTATATAATGAAGCATTGTTACATTTCTTGATAACATTGACCGATAAGAACAATAAATAATTATTTAATTTCAATTTCATATTTTGCGTAATATCATCAGTATTAGAAATTGATGAATGAATTTTATCAAATAGTGGTAGACCAACTGTTTGGTGAGGGGTCGTCCATTAATCACGTGATCGATTTTTTAAGGCATTTTGAAACCCCACTCCCTTTTGGTGATACCTGGTGATATTCAAAATTAACCCCTCTCCCCCTCCGTGTATTTTTGGTTAAATTTTTTTTTATTTTCTTTGAAAATGTTTGGATTTTAAAAAAAATCAGATTAATAATAAATACACGCAAAGTCTTATTATAATCCTCTCTCCCAAACGTGATATTTCTTGATTTTTTGGACTCTTCCTTATCCCAAAGCCAAGTTAACAGTTATAGGACTCAATATATTATTGATTTATTAATGCATTTTGTTTTTATTTTTTATTAATTATTTTGTTTTTAGAAAATGGATCGATGGATCGGAAAAGTAGCCGTTGTTACCGGAGCAAGTGCCGGAATTGGAGCAGCAGTTTCAAAAGATCTTGTCGAGGCAGGAATGAAAGTTGTGGGTTTAGCAAGACGTTTGGAACGCATGGAGGTAATTATAATTTATCTCTTATATATAAATCTATAAATCTATAATTTATTATACACTTAATTTCAAATCCATCCAAAATCTCTTTAGGAAAATGCCGCAAAAATGGACACGAGCAAGGGTGGAAAGTTTTATCCTAAGAAGTGCGATCTGGCCAAAGAAAGTGAAATCATGGATGTATTCTCGTGGATCAAGGAAAATCTTGGAGGAGTTGATGTGATGATAAACAACGCAGGAATGATGAAGTATTTATTATTCATTTTTTTAATATTTTTTTTTAAATATTAACTAATAAGTAGTCAATAAAAATAATAAAGACTCGAGTATAGATACCAAGGCACAAAACCGTGAAATGAAACTTTTAAAGTTCACTTATTCAAATTTTTAGTTCGGAATAATAGTATTTTATAATTTTAATAGCTAATATTAAGAAAAATTAAAATTTTGAATTTGGATCTTTTACAATTATTACGTATAAAATTATATTTGTATAAAATTATCTCAACATGATGACAACCTTGATATAATACATTGTGATGAAGTTAATAAACACAGCTATGATGTTATTGAATTGTCATGGTTATAAACAGTTATTTTAGCATCATAACAATGACTTGCAATTTATTCTAAAATTAATCATCATGCATAATTGAATGCAGTCAGAAAATTAACAAATTAGTAATGCTTATTAATTGATCTCTACTATGGTATGGAAACATATGCTGCTATTTTACCAATTGGATGGATTATTTGTGTTTTGCTGGAGTTGATTGATATATCTTTTATTTATAATTATTACTATATTTGTTAAATAATTAATATGTTTTTAGGATGACAATGTTAACAACTCCGGATAATGGCAATGATTTGCGTACTGTTTTGGATATAAATGTGATGGCTCTTTGCATTTGTACCAGGGAAGCATTTAATTCCATGAAAGAACGTGATGTTGCTGGACACATTATTCATATAAACAGGTATATTATTAGAAATTCCTTTAATAATATTTTTAATTTTACAAAACAAATTTAAACGTTCTGTTTTTAATAGATAACTAAAATTATTATCTAATTATAAATGCCTCTAGTAGTTATTGAGTGCATAAGAAATTTGCAATTTAGCTTGAAATTAGCATAATATTATAATATATGCTTTTTAAAATAATGTCAGGACATGGAAATCAATAGTTGTTTATTCTTACAATTGCTTATCGTAGGTACAATTATTCAAAAATAATATGAATGTAAATCATTGAGATAATTTGAAAAATATTGGATAATATTTTGATACTAATGCAGTTATTGTTATTGTATTAGAATATTTATTGTTGTCTACGTGGCTTCTCTACGTAGTTTTTTTTTTTTTTTTTTAAATACAACTTAATTGTTGTTCTATCTATTTGATATATTTTATATCATTATCATTAATTTTCAGCCTGACAGGACATCATGTTCCTTACCTGGGTGATTTTCCACCAGTATTCAACATTTACCCAGGCTCCAAACATTGTGTTACTGCGTTAACAGAAACTTTAAGACAAGAAATGAACTATCTTAAGAGTAAAACTAAAATTACTGTGAGTGTAAAATGAATTTAATGTCTAATACAGTTTAAAATTATAATTGTCATTTCTTAGAGCATAAGTCCCGGTCATGTGGCAACAGAATTTTTAGAAGAACCATTTGGCCAAGAACAGTCGGATCAAATAAAACAACATCATCCGACTTTACAACCAGAAGACATTTCTCAAAGTATTCTTTTTGTTTTGGGTACACCAGAACATGTTCAGGTAATAAACTAAAATAATTAAATTTGTAAAGATAAAAGTATAAGAAAAATTTAAAAACTCAAATTTTTCTGAACTTTTGATATACATTAGAACAATATGCAGTTTAGCATTAACGTTTACGAGATCAACATATACTTCTCTGATCAATATATAAACTTTTAAGAAATTAATATATAAAAAACCAATTATAACTTGTTGTTTATTAAAATGTTTGTAAATTATTTACTATAATAATTAAAATTTTGTTTTAGGTTCACGAACTCATAATTAAACCAGTAGGCGAAAAGTCTTAAATACATTTAAAAGCATCGTATTTTTTTAGACGTGAGTTGCACATATTATAAAATATTTAAAATTTTAAAAGTTAAATATTGTGAATATTATCAAATATTTAAATATAATGTATATCAATGTGCTCTAACATTTTCAATAGAAATATATTATAATTCATTTTTTTATTATATACGCTAACAAATATTTAATGTTTTTCAATGTTTATGTATATAGTATAGTTGTTTTTCATTCCTATAATAATTTTCATTTCACTGATCATAATTTGTAGAAGTTTAGAAATTTATAAGAGAATTCTCATGTGCATTCGGAGAAAGTAATTAGTCACCATTTTTATAGTAAATCAACTTTATCATCATCATTTAATTATATAAAGTTATCGAATTTTTACAGCATCATTTCATCTCTCTATAACTTTTAGATATTTGCTTTCACATTATTTAATTAAACTTTCTTATTGTATAAGTTATATCAGAATATAAATAAAATATCTTAATAATTTTGAATTAGTGATATATAATTAAATGTTTTTTTATTTTTGTGTATTTCTAGCATAATATTAAAATTCATATAGAAATGTTTAAAATGTATGTGATTTGAACACTTTAAGACAGATATTGAATTTTTACTAATACTTCTTATAATTTTGGTTATTTTAACAACAAATATATATGTTGTTAGATATGGATATTTTTTCAGAAATGATTAATTGTAAATTGAACTTGTTTCTCAATTATTACTTACAATTGTTGAAGTTTATAGTATATTTATTTTTGCTGAAATTAAATTGTTTGTTTCTTTTTTTTACAAAAATGTGAATTTTGTATGTAAATAATTATTTATTTTTATAAAACTTACAGGATAATTTTCTTATCAATTTAAGCATATTCCTGAGGTCCACATCTATACGGGCAGTGTACATAACATCTCTCAACAATCATATAAAATATAATAAAATAATATACATTAAAATATATTACTAATCTATATAACTTAAATCAGTTCGGAATTGGATTCGACGACAGTTAGGATGTAACTTGTCATCGTTAATAAAAAATATATTATCTAAATTAAAATTTGGTCCGATTTATAAATCTAATTGGAGGCGACCAATTTGCCTTGGTTAGACCCTCAGATTGGGGTTGGTGTAACGGACGTATTTCAGGAGGGCATCGTTTTCTTCGCAGACGAAGGGCTTGCGGTGGTGGCAGGCGACATCGTGCCAATGGACACCATCGTTGTAAAAGTTGTTCAGAACGGCCAAACAATTTTCGGTTGCTCCACCTTGTTTCAATTCCTGGGGGGGGAAATATGTATTAATAGATGAATTAAAATTTCCAAAAAACACCTCTTATTTTACTAGAAATATGGACTTTCTTGGGACATTCAATGACAATCCAATGATCTAGAGACATTTAAGTAATCTCTCTTAATTGGTCTTAATCTCAGTAAATTCTTTAGAATAATTTTTGGCTTTTTAATAAAATTTAAACTCACACTATATATATTCTTAACGATCACAATAGTTTTACTTTACAGTTTAAATTGAATAATTTATAACTTCGAATTCTCTATACAATACTAAAATATTCTAAAACTGAAAAGTTAGTGTTAAAAATTTGTACAATCGATATCATGAAGTGACTGATAAAGTTATTCGAAATAAGTTTATTACTATGAAATAATTATTTTTTATTATTATTTTTTTACTTACTCTGTTGTCTGGTTGGGGAAGACCAATACCACCTCCTTCAGACCAGTCGTTTTGTTGTCTGTCTGTGGTTGGGGCAAGTTTCTGCAATTCGGCGGTCCAGAACCATCCATTTACGGAAACAGGTTGTAAATCTGGTCTGTCACAGCCCTTGAAGTCACATAGACGACCGCTGGTCCAGATGTATTTCACCTAATAATCGAAAATTATTTTGTAGAAACGATTACATGAAGAGAAAATTTATGAAATTATACTACAAAAGGTAAGTACCTGCCATAAAATATTTAAAGATTATTGCATATTGAAGAGCTTTTAAGAAATTATTTTATATTAAGATAACATCAAGAATTCCCTTAAATTATTGGAAAGCAAAACTGTATATTTAAATTTGAAGTAACTATTACTACTCATTTGAAATCGGATCAAATATTCTGGTGTACGATAGGTTCTCAAGAACTATTTGTTCTTCCAGCAAATTATATTCAATGTTTTAAAGTTATTATATTTTTAGTTTTATGTATCTTACATTTCCATTGACAATTCTTTGTTTGATCCATTCATTTTCGGCACTGGTTTCCAAACTGACACTGTCCATGCAACGTTGGCGGCAGAAGTTGCGGACGCCCAACCAATCTTCTTCAACACCAGCCAATTGTGGGTCACGCCATGAGAAGAAGTATCCTTTGCCTGAAAAAATAGGTAAAAAATCAATTGTTTAATATATAGAAATTCTTTCATAGTTCAGTTATTTTTTAGTTTAATACTTTACAAAATTTTGTGATTATAATCAACGTTTTCTTTTTTAACCCTGAATTTTTTAAATAAATATTTATTATTGTCTATTATCGAATATAAGGAAAACATTAAATTTTAAATTAGTAAATTGCTTAATATAATTTTAACTTGATGGTTAATGATGGTTTTTTTATATTTTCTTTACATACCGTCTGGGCTACGTTCGTGTATCGTCCTTTGGGCGCAGAGTGCAGGTACTGGTGGTTCTAAAATGCGTCCATTCTGGAATTGGGCTGATGCCAAACCACACAGGGCTAGGCCCAATATTGCTACTGCGAATTTCATGGCGACCAGTTTCCCTACAAGGTAATAAAAAATTAATAATAATTAGATATGAAACTTTACATGAAATACTTGCATGTAAACATAAAAATGTATGGCAGAATAGTAACGGTCTCAAAAATTTATATTATTATTGATATTGAGATATTTAAACAAAATAACTTGGTCACTACGTCCAAAAGTTTCCAAAATTTGAACCCAAAACGTTTGTATTGAAATTGCTCTACTACTACTACTACTATTAAATGCATACCAAAATAGCAACTGTCTCATAATTTAATATTATTAATATTGAGATATTTAATCAAAATAACTTGGTTACTATATCGTGTATACTGATTTTAAATTAAATCATGACGAGTTTCCAAAATTTGAACAATAAACGTATGTATTGAATTTTTTCTACAACTATGATGACTGTTCTTGCTGGAATTCTATAAACCGAACCAATTTTGAATTAAATTATGATGAGTTTCCAAGATTGAAAAAATGCTATGAAGTACCAAATCCAAATATGACAAAAAAATCCGTTTATTGAAAATAAATCAAGTCCACTCATAACGCCAATATATAAAGTTTCGTTTCGTAAAAGTTTCCAAAATATGAATCCAAAACGTTTGTATTGAAATTGCTCTACTACTACTACTACTAAAAGTATACCAAAATAACAACTGTCTCAAAATTTAATATTATTGATATTGAGATATTTAATCAAAATAACTTGGTTACTATGTCGTGTATACTGATTTTAAATAAAATCATGACGTGTTTCCAAAATTTGAACAATAAAAGTATGTATTGAATTTATTCTACAACTATGATGACTGTTCTTGCTGGAATTCTATAAACCGAACCAATTTTGAATTAAATATATATAAGGTTTCGTTTCGTAAAAGTTTCCAAAATTGGAATCCAAAACGTTTGTATTGAAATTGCTCTACTACTACTACTACTAAAAGTATACCAAAATAGCAACTGTCTCAAAATTTAATATTATTAATATTGAGATATTTAATCAAAATAACTTGGTTACTATGTCGTGTATACTGATTTTAAATAAAATCATGACGTGTTTCCAAAATTTGAACAATAAAAGTATGTATTGAATTTATTCTACAACTATGATGACTGTTCTTGCTGGAATTCTATAAACCGAACCAATTTTGAATTAAATTATGATGATTTTCCAAGATTGAAAACATGACAAAAAATCCGTTTATTGAAAATAAATCAAGTCCACTCATTACGTTAATTTTCATCGAATTCCACGTCTCTAACTAACTATAATAATCACTTAAAATCACACAAAACAAATTTCTGTCCACTGAATCAATTTCCTCGTACAAAGTCCTTTATCAGTACGTACCTTCTCAGTTATTGTCCGGGTGTAAACTGACAAAAAAACGACCCAGGCCCGTTTATATAGAGATTCAGGTGGGTGCAGTACCTATGCGTGACCTTGTGCCGCGCGTGTCTACAGCGCCTGAAGAATAAACAAGTGTCATATGCCCCGCGAGGCTCTTCTTCCGAAGAGGGGGGCCGATTGTTAGACCCGAGTCTTCTTCGGCCAGTGGGGACAGGAGAGGCCTCAATGAAAGATGCGTACGCTAATGTGTTTTTCGACATTTTTTCAATGCTGAAGAATTTCTATATGCTTTATTTTAATTGTGCTCTTAGATAAGGTTTGTTTTGTTTGTTGGTTAACACTATGAAAGAAGAAATAGAGATTTTGAGTTGTTTATTGCTTTAGTTATTTATGAAGTACGATTTCAATAGGAACGAATAGTCTGAAATGAAATGATACCACAAATTTATTAATTAGGAAAAAAAGATTTAAGGGGTGAATTAATGGAACACTAGTTGTTTCGAACACTACACCAAAAAAATTAATTTTGGTAATTATTTGTAATATAATTTGTTTTGTTCTGTTTTTTTTTTACAATTTTACAATTTGTTGCGATTGTAGTAGTTTCAACATTTATTATATAGCTTTTAAGATTTTAATTTTTAATATATATAACGAAGATTTTAATTCACCTATGTTTTCAATATTTAGTATGTTTAATTTTGCTACTTATTTTTATTCAACGCGTTTTTAGTAAAATAATTAACTTCCCGTAGGGTAAGTTATTGCATACCTCAGAAAAAATGGATGTGTGTGTGTGTGTATGTATGTATGGATACAATTTCCAGTCACGTTTTCGGGCGCACGGATTAACCGATTTGAATGGTTCAAAAACA